CAGAATAATTTCGAAAGTAATTTGAAACAAAAAGCATTGATGAAAAAGAAATCGGCTGGAAAGACTGGTGGTTCGGTTAGCGAGAGGATATGCGAGTTGTTCTTGCTGGCCTCCGTAGTGAGAAGACAGAAGAGTCGAATGTAACGGATAATCACGTGACACTCGGAAAGTTACTTCTCACACAGCAGACTTAGCTACAGTAAGAAGTTCAAGCAAGATGATGACAAACCCATCTCGTTGACAGCCGGATGACCGAGCGGTCAAGGTGGCAACCTATAGCTCCGGGGAAGCCGGGATCGAACAATCCCCAGGCATTTTTCAGGGGGATGATCAACCGAATATGTCGATCTCCGCCCGTCTTGTCTGTGTTTCGTGCCCCACATCTTGTACAGTAAAACCTCTTTTGAAAGTGTATTGTAATCACGCACTGTATATACATGTAAGGGATTGCATTCCAGTGATGTTATTGTACTGTGTACCTATTTTTCCTCTGTATTTTACCATTATATTACAATTAATTCTGTATTTTGTAACATTTTAAACTATTTGTATCTTTATTATTGTAATTTGTTGCCACCGGGTAGCGCTCACTAAGGAACCCGGCATGTACCGTTGTGCGCGTTAATAAAAATGAATGAATGAATGATCTCCACCCGGCCGCCTCAATGCGGGCCTGGCCGAATCCATAATGGGCATGCTAAAAAAGAGGTCCTCTTAGTGCCCACAGGGCAGAAGGGGGGGGGGGGGTAAAAAACCCATCCTGTCAGGCATTATTAGCAGTATCTAGCAAGTAGATTTCATACAGCAGACTAGAGCCCCTGGTTGGGGAACAGAGCAGAATTTTCTTCATAGAGCCATTTTTGCTTACTAGGAGCACTTCAGTTAGGATTCAGACTAAAAGTGGGTCGAATATATGCAAAACGTATATAAAACTGATGGTGTAATTCGACTTCTAAAGATAAATTAACACCTTTCGAATATAATTAAGTTCAAGATTTTTACAAAACTGCAGGGCTACGCTTACAAATAAACGAGAAAAGGTTATGTTTGATATGATCTAAAATTGCACAATTAATTTTTATTTTTTAAGNCTAGTATTTAATTACAACGTATGGGATTAAATAATATTACATGCTAACTGTCTTATTCAATTTTTATGATTATTTTATAAAGTCGATAAATATAACCATGGTTACTAGATAAACTGGTTGGGGAGCAGAGCAGAATTTTCTGCCTAGAGCCATTTTTTCTCACTAGGAGCGCTGCGGTTAGGATTCAGACTAAAAGTGGGTCGAGTATATACAAAACGTATATAAAACTGATGATGTTAAATATAAATTAAGACCTTTTCGAATATAAGTAAATTCAGAAAAGGGAACGCTTAAGTCTGTTTTCAAAATTGCAGGACTACTCTTCCGAATAAATGACAAAAAATTATGTTTAAATTAATACTATCTAAAACTGCACGCTTAATTTTTATTTTTAACGATTTTAAATTTTTTGTTTAAAAATTACTTATCTATCTTTTGAAGTCTTCTTTACTTTAAAAATGAACGCATTTTATCCTACCCGGAGAATTGATTTTTTAAAATTTTCTTTCCGTATATTAAAAAAAAAGTTGATTATCGTTTTTGGTGATTGGCTATTCTATCCAATATTTTTACTAGATTTGTCAGAACGGTTAAAAGTTGATTAATGATTTTCTAAATAAAAATTGAGAATCTTTTGCAAAATATGTTTTTTCAGTAAATTCGATTAAAACGTCTTAAATTCTTACAAAAGTAATATAAATTAATTGTATTATTAATGAATGAATAAAAATAAACAGTTTATGCAAAGCTTTCAAAATATATTTTCTCAGTAAATTCGATTAAAATATCTTAAATTCTTACAAAAGTAATATGAATTAACTGTATTATTAATGAATGAATAAAAATAAACAGTTTATGCAAAGCTTTCATAAACTGATTTGTAAGTTTTTTTTAAAAACTGCAGTCTTTTTTAATTTCAAGTTTCTTTTAAAGACATTTTAATATTCAATACGACTTAAGTCGAATGTGTACAGTAATAAAAGCATTCTACACAACTATTATTATTTCGGCACTACATCAGAAAGATTAGAAAAAGTTTATCACCTCATTGGCTTATTTTATAAAACTACGTAAATGAGTCATAGCTTCTATTGTTGGAATGTATATTGATGGCTAATGGCTTTAAAAATTGAAAGGGAGAAAAATATCTTTAACTGATAGAAAAGGACGAGAAAGCAAAAGTTAGAAATTATTTTTTTAAATAAAACTGTTTCTGTTACAACAATAAAAGTTATATAAATAAATAAAGCATATACTTTAATATCCAGTTTATTGGCAATATTTACATAAAATTATCCAAAATTTTATTACGGGTACGAATTTAATGTAAAGAAAAGAACTTTCTTGTCAATTTCTAAATTCATGCGCCTCGTCTCTTTAAAAACAGACGATCTGAAGCGGAATCGACAATCAATCACGTGTTACCCGCGGTCACTAAACACAATGTCCAGGACACCAATATTCCCTATTGAGCCGCCATATTGCTTCCTGAGTTCCAAGGTCACAGTTCAGATTTCATGGTACATACGGTATGAGAGGTAAACTTGGCGTTCCTCGGGGTTCGAGCTACGGAATTCCTTTTATAATTTCAAATAGAGTGTTTTCTCATTTACAAGTTACTCTGACATATAATTAAAGTCTTTAACCAAATAAGTTTCAAAATAAAAAAACCATCGAATACAGTACGACGATAAGTTTATTTAGTTTTCTATATTCATGTGCACTTTTGCATTACACAAACCGCAAACAAGAACTGAGTAAACATTCTCGTAAATTAAAATTAGATCAAGAGAAAATCGTTCTCACAAACTTTATATGTTATTTAACGTAAACCTTCAAAAGTGTTTGCAAGAGATAATAAGAAAGTTCCTAAATGAAGTCAGTCATGCATATAAACTAAATTTAATTGATTTATAGAGAATTAAATAAGTATATTTATAAAAATTTATTAAACGGTAGACAAAAAATTGAAATACCCACTTCAACTTTGTCCCTTTGTTCAACTATGTTCCATTTGAAGGTTCTGGGGATTGTAAAAATGCCCATTAAGTAGAGGTGTGTTCGCTATTCGGGTGTGTCCGTTAATGGAGGATTCACCGTATTATGATTTCTTGTATATAGATTTGACGAGACTTTAGAATTGTAGAAGTTCGTAGCCAGAAAAAATTTCCAGAATCACTTTTAGAGCGAGAATATATCAACTTTTAAGTCGCCTTATTATTATAATCACCTCTATCTTACGAATTAGAGCATTCCGTTCTAAACATTATCGTATTTACTTTAATGAAGAAATCATTCATTTATAAGGTGTCTATCTAAAGATTTAACTTATTTTCATTTTTAACTAATAGTAATTATGACCAGAAAATACCAGAAAACCAGTTCTGGCTATTGGCGCAGTGCTCGGGGTCTAGAAGCTTCTTCTATCCACTAAAAGCTTCAATCAATTGCACGAAAGTAAGATGCTTGTCCACTGGCGTCGGCTGTAAACATTCGAAATTTCTCTCGTTTTTAACTCCGATATTGCCTGTCTTCTTAAAATACTATTTTATTCAGCTTTGAACATTATTTATTCATAAATGTCGCTAATATTTATAATTCTATTAACTGTCACTTTCATGCTTTTAGACTTAATCATATTACCGAAATCAGTGATAGAATATCATTTCTCATTGATGAATCTACAACACCTAGCAAACACTGCGGAACTTAGCAAAAAGTTCAAACAGGAGCCTCCTTTTGATGGAAAAAGTAATTTTGTATAATTTACAACGGATCTACTTTTTCCATCAAAAGGATTTGTTCTCCATAGCAACCACTTTAATAATTTTGCTTGAAAAGCGAAGCAAAATATACAGAATTCCTTCTCGATTTTGAATCACAATTAATAGATGAAAAATCTGTCATCGCAACAGAATGGCTTTTAAAGTCTTGCAAAGTATACAATTATTCAACAGTTTAAACTTTCATTTACGTTGCGATAAGAAAAAATCGGGAGTTGATGAACAATTGTTAAATAAATATCCGAATCCGATTACGTCGCATGAAGTTATACGACGGAAATGCTAAAGCAGAAGGAAACGGCATTAACCATTTTCAAATATTCACAAGTTTCTATAACGTGTTTTTGAATTCTGCCACACCAGGGCGTATGTGTTCGAAGCCATTAATATCCTGCTAGTTGTTAGCATGGAGTAAGTTCACTCTATTCACCTAATGGTAATTTCAGTCGTGACGTTTCTCCTAAACCAGCCAATCAGCATCTTTCTGCCAAGGTTAGCAGAGTATAAGTATTCTCACTCGTTGTCGCTGCCTTTGATGTGCTGACAAGCAGTAGGTGGAGCCTAGCTGGTCAACCATGTTTAAACCAAGTAATTAAAATCAACATTCCAAAGAACACTTACAAAACGAGTCTTTTTCACTCTGTTTTCTTCGTGCAATATTTTATTTAATTTTATTAAACGTTAAATATGTTTAATCAATATTGCTGATGTTTTTGAACAGTTAATGTTTTACTTACGTTATATTTGCATAAAAGTTACTAAACTTTTTTAATACTTTTCTCAAAAAAGCTAAACTGTTACTTACACGTATAGTATGCATGTCATACTCGGACGTTTTTCTAATAAATATTTGCGATGACATGTTCTATTTTTAGACAAAGATGATTCAATTCAACGTATAAATACTTTATTATTACTGAAAACTATCGAAAAATTTTTAATTTATTTAAATTACATCGTCATAAATATATACACACGTTCTATTTAGACGAAAGTTTCATTATAAACAATTCAAAACATTTACATTAAAACTTTTTAATGTTTATTTTCTTTGTTTGTTTCTGAGTTATTAAAAAACTTCAAGATATAGTAAATTCTGAGTGNTAATAATATAAAAAGTAAATAATGGAAAATACAGTATTTATTTAAAAACCACATTAATTGTTTGAAGATACGAATTGTGTCTTCAACAACTTAGAACTATGGCAAACCGGCCACAAAATTATCTTATGTTTTCTGATTGGATGAAGTTGCTAACAGTAAACGGTACTTGGGAAGAAATATGGGTTATGCTGAGACAAGAATCTATAAAACTGTATCAACAGAAGAACGAGGTAAATAAATGCACGCGAGATAAAATTTTTAAAGTATGACCTAGACTAAGGTAAGGTAACCCTTGGCAGGCGGACCATCACTATTTTTTTTCCAGCGCACAACCCAGGCTCATCTTAAAAAATGAATATCCAATATCTTTTCTGAGTTGTATATTTTAACCTAACATAATACAATTTTATTGAGTAAATAAAACTTCAATAAAGAAACAAATATATCAATTGTTTTAGTAAAAATAAGTAATAGGATTTTTGTTTCATTCTCTTATCTTCGGACATCTACCTCTTCGACATTACGGAAAAGCTAGCTTTTCCGTAGCATCAGCTAGCTGCTAGACCAAATAATATTGTTCCAAAAATTTCGGCTGGACGTGAAAAAATTTTGCATCGTAGATTTGGCCATTCTGGCAGGCATACGTAGAGATTGCTCATCGCTGGTTAGACAGCAAAAAACCAATCTTCCAGTCTGGTGACTTGGATTCGATTTTAGATCATAAACATACAGCCTGATATTGCCTATGTCTTACATAAATCAAATAAAAACTTTTAAATGCTACAATACAATTAAAGTATAAAGCATAGAAAAATCGTATATTAAATGATATAATTTACGAAATTATTACAAAAGTTGCTTTTAGCTTTTGGTATAATTATATTAAAATATCTACGAACGTGATGCAGATACAGTAATACCTTGGTTTTCGTCGGTTGCCTCGGATTTTGTCAGCGTGGTCACGTGGGCACGCCGAACTAATTTTACAAAAACATTGAGCAGGAAAACGCGTGGATCACCCTGTATGTATTGTTGTTTCTCGTTGTGTGAGCATTATCCCTCGCGTCTAGCCAAACAACTCCATTGTTTTCCTTTCCTTTTAGCTCCATCGTGAGACCAAAGAGTTTTCAGAGCCAGCACCCCTTCGGATGCCATGTTAAATGTTCATTTATTCTTTACATTAGTTTTTTATATTAATTTCTTATTGTTTTTAGTATTAAACACTATATTATTCTCTATAAAATGTGTTTTTGTATGTATTTTGGAGTGTCTAAAACGAATTAATTGGATTTATATTGATTCATATGGAAATAATTGCCTCGGTTTTCGGATTTCGCCGATTGTTTTCGGACGGATTATCGATGAAAACCGAGGTATCACTGTAATAGTATCTGCATCACGTTCGTAGATATTTTAATTAATTTAGATATAATTTATATTATAAAAGCTTATTGCATAAAGCTGAATTTATCATTAAAAGTAACCTACAAATTCTGGCTGGCTGTTTTATTTTTATGTACTGTACAGTATAGATAATTAGGATAATATGCTACGTAAAATTCAGGAAGTTATAGAAATCCCTTTTTTATTTGAAGAATACTTTCTTGCTTAATCTCATCATTATTAAGGAGATAAAAGAAGCTTTCCAAATCTATTTTTATCTCTTCAATGAGACATTTCAAGATTAATAGATTTAAAATAGGTATGATTTACAGTTAATGAAATAATTAAGATTTAAAAGTTTAAATAAAATTATGTAAATTTAAGTTGTAATTTAGAAACAAAAGAATTTATACTTTATATGAAATTTTAATGGATCTTTTTGATATCTTACTGTGAAAATTATTTATATTAGTTACAAATTAAATATACTTTAATTTGTATCTTATTTATATAATAAGAAAACCATAAACAAATCAAAATATGTAATAGTTTTGGTGCTATCAAAATTTATTTATAGAGTACACAACGTAGTATTAGGCCTATACTGTAAAATGTTTCACATATATTGACAAATTTTTATTTTATACATTTTATAAAATAATTCAGTAATCTAATTGTAACACATTGCTTAACAGGATTTAAAATGGCTTGGAACTATAAAACTGAAATGTGTAAAATATGAAGGCATGACAGATACCGAACCAAATACGTTTAAATTATTCTTTTCTCCTGATGAAGCAATATGGGCTGAACAGGTAACTTTATATTTTATCGTCAAAATCCATTTCATTTTTTGTATTTACAACTTAACAATTTCCTAATACAGTATTTTTGTTAAGGTTTATCGATCACTTATTTAGTTATTCTTAAAGAACTGCATAACTGTAATTTTACACGTTTATCATAATATCAAGTAATCAAATAAATTTGTATGAGTTTTCAATGTAATCATTTCTATATAGCTAAGAGCTTTCAGAAAGATTTCATGTTAGCTTTGTTGACAAAAGTGTTAGCTTGCATCTTCTGTATAAAAAAGTCTGGAAAGTGAGTAAATGGGTTCCATATATACCAAGGGTGGCAAATCTATGGCACATTGGAAGAATCAACTGGCACGTAACGGGGTACTGTACATGACAACTGGGCGATTCACAATGGGCGATAGTCAAGTGGGCGCCAGAAACTTCAAAATTTTTGCACACTTAGCACGCATTAAAGGTTTGGCGGATTTTATTTATTTATTCATCTGTAAATATTGTTAAGATATATATAAATATAAATATGGTTAAGACTTACGTAGTTACGAGTTATTTCCAACTTAGGAAATGTTTTGGAATAAGGTGCTGTTAAGTATTTAATGTCAGAACGGTTAACAAATCATACGAAAGAAAAGTTTTTCAAAAACAAATTCTTTCGAAAAAATTTTATAGCTTTTTTGTTTTAATTTATATTGTATTTAATGTATAATGTAATGTATTTTTATTTTTATGTAATTGTTGTCTTGTTTCTACGTATATTTGTTAATTTTGGAATAGATATTAACTGTTCTTCGAGACTTTTCTATTTACTTGTAAAAGTAAATAAATAAATAAGGCATATATTCTGTATAAATGTTTATTAATTACAAAATCGTTTTTTTAACTCGTAAATTTAATATTTTTAAAGAAACGAGTTAATTGTTTCTTTAAAAATATTATTGAAATTTACTACGTAGTAGATCAATAGAAAAAAATGGTGATTTTTATAAAAACAAAAAATTTGTATTTTGTCTATTGTTCATCTCTTATTTTGTCGCCCAGTTAGCAAGTAGCACAGTTGTCAGTCATCCAGTTGACGATGTCCCCACGTAACTTGTTATACAATTTCGGTTTCTCATCCATCTTTTTCAATAATCCTTTCGGTTTATCTGACCATCTTTTTTCAATCAGCTTCTTTACATTTATCCCAATTACAGCATATTTCATTTCTTTAAGTATCGTTATTTGAAGTCCAAAACTTCGGCACGGATAAATATTTTTAAAGATAGTTGAGCATACTAAAGATAGTATGCTCACTATATGGCACGGGGACTCAAAAAGATTGTCCATTCCTGACATATACCCACTGCCAATAAGAAATTTTGAAGGATTATGATCTGCTCATCACTCTTCGTGCCACGAGAATGAGCCATTTTTTGACAGGTTGTTGAATGTGTGCTCTATATAGTCATCGTCAGTACAGGTACAAGCATTCGTATCATTAGTTTCATCTAGTTTGGTCTACTGCTGTATAACAAAACTCAGGATTTATCAACAGAAAATTTGTTGGTGTAGCTGATGGCCAAGCTAGTATCATCCATTATGAGCTTGTCACTGAGGAAATTTCCACTTGTTAGCTTCAAAATAGTCTTCAATTATTCATTATAAAGAGGTGCTTCTTCAGCATAGTACACCCTCACGCAAGCAGTGACCTGACAGAGACAAGCTTTGTTTTCGGAAATTCTATTTACCTTCTGTGTTTTCCAGACATTGCATCATATTACTCTATTTTTTTTCTTTGCCCTGGGCAATATGCGCAATCAATACTTTCGAAACTAATAAGTACAGTACTATTGAAAATTTGAAATACATATTGTTTAAATTTATCCTTAAAAACTGCACAAACATTTTTGGTTACCTGATGTAATTAGAATAAAATTTTGCCATTTTCCCCCCTCTAACACGCACACATTTAAATATATATACAGTATATATAAAATTTAAAAGTTTGTTAACTGTTAGCATTGGGCCTTCGGATTGTACAAATACTAAGGGCACATTTGGAAATTTTAACCGATAACACCGCGGTAGTGGTAACTGACGTCATCGGTCATAGCCGATTATTCTGAGCGATCAGCGCATTTTTAAACGCGCTGGTTATTTTATGGTATCGAACATGGAAGAAAGTCGAGAAGAGGTGATATCATTAATTCTGTAATTGCTCTCAAATATCGATTCAGAATCACATGGCGATGAAGATTCGACCAATTCATCAAAAGATAAAAATGAACTTGTAGAATTTTTTTAACAAGTATCGGAGAAAAATTATCTTCATTTAGTTTACACTGTAAAATCAATAATTTCGTAGCATTTGCTAGCCATTGACCATGCTGTCTTTTCTCCATATGAAACTCGAGACGACATGGCTTTCCGATCTTGGTCGCTTTGTGCGGAGGGAAACAAAAATGTTATTTTGTTTCCTCTAAATTTTTAAAATCACGGCCACATTCGTCACACGTATTGAATTAGGCGACGAAAGCATTATTATGCGTTCGTCGCCTAATTCAATAGAAACTGCGGTAACCACTTTGTCATCGTGGTTACCGCAGAACAACCGGTGACGTCATAATCGTGATTTTTAAACGTGGTTGGTTATTCAGGTTACATTTTCTAAACTCTCCTGTAATTACCAGCAGTTACCGGTAACACCTGTTAGAATTTCCAAACGCACCCTTGGTATTCGAACAGCTTTTAAACTGTCTAACTGCCCCGAGGACAGTCGAGTACACACACACACACACCAGGATTTTGCTTTTTTTTGTTTTGTTTTGTTTTCTGAAAAATGAAATACATAGGATGTTCCTTTATAAGTAAAAAGCAGCCATGAAAATATTTATTACTTTCCTGGCTTGTTATATATAACAGAGGGAAAGTATGGCGATCAGTCAAAAATGTGCATGTGGGAGAGACGATTTTGTTCACCGTTTGAAGCTTAATAACTCCTGTGCTTTTTGTCGAAAATTTCTGAAATTTTGCAGGAAGGTTTGTTTATTAGGGAGATTGATGCTATTAAATTTTGGTGGTTAAAAGTCGACGGGGTGGGGATATAAAGGGAGGTCGTGTGTCATATTTCGAGTAGATAGTCTTACTGACAATTTTACTCGTTATTAACATTTAATAATATAATTTTTAATAAAATATCGTAACTGATAGCGCAACATGCAGCTTTAAAAGTTTCCGAGAAAGTTAAGCAACTCGTTGCTGGATCAAAATGGTAAGATAAAGATAGTGTTAATTTTATAGTAATAGGAGTCAATAAGGCCCCCTAAATTTTCTCCGGTCCCGGAGAAAAATCCCAGCTCTCAATGGTCTGTTTTGACTGTTTCTAATTATTCTCGCCCCTCCTAGTGAAAAAATGACATCCTCCCTTATGAAAAAATGCAGCTGAAGAAGTGCCACTTTATGAAAGACAGCAATCATAAATTACCAAATTTTGAAATACATTTGATCAGACTAATTATTACATAATTATCAGTGTATACTTTTTTAATATAAGTTGATATAAGGTTTCTTCAATGCTAACATAAGTAACAAAATTATTTTTTAGGATGTTTCTAATTATACTGTTGAATTATTTTAAATACTTGATTTTTTTCTAATTTTTTAACAGTCTGAAATTTCTAAATGGCAATTAGAACCTTTGCTGTTTCTGGCTCCATCTGAACTGGCATATAAATGTTGGATTAATGCTCTATCTGTTGTCTCAGAAAAGTTTGTTGAAACAACAAATGAAGGTAATCTTTATTTTATAAATTTATTTTTTAGACCGAAGTTAACATAATAAAGGGAACATAAAAGTTAATTTATGATGATAAATATAAACAAATATACGGGGCAGTGACAAAAATCTTTCTCCAGCTAATTATTTTGAAAATTAATATTGTAACTTCCCTAGACTTTTGGTCAATGTATATTAAGTCAAATTGATGTTAAGTGATGTGCTACTCCTCTGTCTTCTAGATTGTGGAGATGGAAACTATTGTTATCTGTAATGAAAATAGATCATAATTGTCAATTACAAAGTTATAGAGAATGACAAAATATGTAATTTCAACTTTTATTTTGATAATTGGTATTTCGGAATGAAAGATAGGAGACCAGAACAGGATGTAAAAAAAATTGTCCGTAAAGGCATTGCTGCTTAACATGAGTGCAAGTCAGGAGTGGCTGATTGTGCTATCTGTACAGCCATAAATAAAATTGAAAAATCCAGTTAAATGGAAAATGTCTAAATACAACCACTGATGTTTGTGTATCTTTTAGTTTCTTTATTCGAAATAATTACCTTCTACAATGATGCATGCTTATATGCAGTGCACAATTTTAAAAAATTTCTAGCGGCATGATTGCTTGGTTTATGTATGGTAGTATCTCATTTTACTATTAGGCGTGGATCTCAAAAATCATGGTAGCAGTATTACTGCAATAGAAAAAATTGCAGATGGACTTCCTGTTGTAACAATTTTTTGAATCACTTTAAAACATACATGAAACACCAAAAGAGTACCAATAAACAACTCTCTCTACCAGGTTTCTATCAATAGATACCTTAAGTATTCCAAAACTGTTGTCAAGCAGTACTGACAGCAGTAGGTAGCAAACAAAGAAAAATAGTGTGCTATTGAAAAGCAAAACAAAATGACTGTATATACTCCTTGTAGTGTCTGTTGGAAAAAATTTATGCAATTTAGATGTCAGGTGATAATTACACAGTAACACATATAAATCAACTTTGTAAAACTTGTTGTTTTACAAGAGTAAAATTTTCAAAACCCATGGCTTTGATAAGAGAGGAGGAGGGTCTGCAAAGCTGGGGATATGAAAGATTGAAAAGGAGATTTTCTCTTCTAATTGTATCCCACTTGTATCTTTGAAGCTATAGAACTCTACACAGTAACATTTCATTTATTATGATATCATAAGCAACCAAATATAGACATTCTAAGTAGGTACAGTACATAAACTCAAAGAAATATACACATCAATGGTTTTTAGTATTTTCATTCAACTGGATCATCCAATCCTATATGCTGTGTGAATGTCATATTTATACCCACATTGTTGTTATAGAAACAAAAAGTTGAAATATATGTTATATATTTGTAACTCTTTGTAACTTTTATAATTGACATTAATGACCTATTTCTATTATGGGTTTAATAGCTTCTGTTTCCCACTTCCTAAAGGATAGGATGCAGTTTGTAGCACCATCATTTAGTATATATATTTGACTAGTATAAATTGGCAAAAGGTTCACAGTGGGTGGTTATACCATTTGTTTTCAAAATAATTAGCTAGATAAAATATTGTTTAAATTAATCTAATATGAAATGATAACTCATGAAAAAACAGCAAGTCAAATTCAATTGATTCTTAGTAACCAACAACTCTTCAGAGAATATAATCTCTCTTACATTTATTGATTCAGCTTGGATTGGATTATTAAATTACGATTACTATCACTATGCTAAACATCAGAATATTCTCTTTCTACGAAATTTCAAATATTCATCCCAGATTTATTCACATATTTTATTCAAAATGAAATATAGTCTTTCCTTAATTCTAAGATGCCATTAATTTAAGACATACCATGAATTTAAAATTTAATTTTAAGTTTATTTTATGGAAGGAGACATTTTTCAATTATCAATTTTATTAAGTTCAGAACTTAGTAAAATTGATTATCTTAGAAAAACAATATAAATGAAATAAGTAATACTTGGAAGCTGTATTTCCATGTTTTGCATTTACAAGTACAATAGCATTTTCTTTTAATGTTGCATCATAGTTTTGTCTTGAAGCCATTTTAAATGTTAAAAAGAAGTTTAAATTAAACAATTGTTACTAGAAAAATTCATTTAAACTGATGTGATGACCATTGAGTAGTAAGGCCAAAAACATCTATTACTGGTGCATGACAAGCTATTTTATTTCTTGGCAATGAATATTAATTTTTTTTTTGGACAGCAAATGTCAGATTCATTTCTATTTCAGACAACTGAAAATAGGCAAAGAGTACATCTTAGAATTGAAAAAATGAAATACATATAAATAATTGCTTTAAGTGAAGCACTATAAGGAAAACAAATATGCAAACACTATCAATTTACAAAAGTTATAGAAATCCTATAAAATTATATTGAAGATGAAAAATTAATTCATGTAATTAATTTATCATCAATATGTTTGTACTACCTCTTCATAGCAATTTATTCTAGCCAAGTATTCTTTCTTACTAAGTCTGAAGATTTTTAAAAATAATATAAAGCATTATTATTAAAAGTTTTCATTCTGTTAATAAATAAATAAGCTTATCATTATTTCAAAAATCTTAAAATATGCATTAGAAATTTAAACATAATTTGTTTGCTACATAATTGGTTTTTTTTAATCATAAATTTCAGAAGCTGAAACACCTGCAAAAGAAATAACAATGAACACTATTTTAGTAGATAAAGATTCAATGGAAAATCCAAAAATAGTTGAAACCGTTTATGTGGAAAGAGTTTTACAAGTTAATAATTTTATTAATTTTATTTAAGTTAATTAAATAATTAAATTTTTTTTAAATATATGACAGATAACAGTTCTAAAAGTTAAACACAAATTATTACAGTATATATTAATTTTTAATATTACATTTACTAACTGAATGTTCAGTAAACAATTACATTTAATTCTTCCTTATTATTCATTTAACAGTTGAAAAATTCATTCAAAACTCTGTGAACTGTACATTTATTATATGTGAAAATTATGATTATGAAAATTCTTTTTTTAATTATATTTATTATGTCTCAATAAATTTTATTGGCATTTTAATATATTTATGGAATGAATTAAATAGAAGCTTTAAATTAAAATAAAAAGTTAGTGCTAAAATTTGTTGCATTATATCACCTCTCATTTTAATTGTTCATATCATTAATATACTGACATTTTTCAATGTTGTTTTAGCCTGTATGACATGTTCTATGATGTATTTTTTCAGTTGATGAGGATTTTTAATTTAATTTTTTTGGATTGAAAAGTTTTAGAAATCTCAAGTATGTTTGCAATATACCAGGTGTGGCCAAACTTTTATCCCTTAGGGGCTACTTTTTTGGTAAAATATAGTCTGTGGGTGACTATGAATATGGGCAAACAATTTTAGGATTTTTATATGCGCATGCGTTAACATTCATTTGCATTGTTCATCGGGATAAATACAAACAGTATGGGTATGTTGCACAGTCAGTCTATTATTGTAAGAATAAATTATCAAATTAAGATTTTTAAACATTAATTTAAGTGAAAGCAAATGGTTCAACTTTAGCTTCGCAGGCTACTTTCAAAACCTTTGCGGTTGACCGTGGTCTACGTGTTGGCCATCCCTGCAATATACATTTATCATCAAAAATTGATTAGAAAGTTCTCTAGTTAATCCCTGATGATTATATAATCCAATAATACTTGAAATTCCTAAAAATTTTTGCTCTAAGAAAAACAACTTTAATTGATTTTACATTTGAGAAATTCTTAACTGAATTTTTAACATTTAAAGTTTCTTCAATTCAAATGTTGTTATGATTTTGATCAAATATTAAACTTTATTCTGTATATATTATGAATTATTTTTAATGATTAATGTTATATATTTTAGAAACAAAATACTGAAGAAACAATGGATTTGGGCAAAATGATTTGGTCTTTGCTATCCAAGGTAACCAATAAAATTTTTCATGAAATAGATTGAAGTTTAGTACTTTTAATATACAGTACTTTATTATATCTTTTACATAACTAATAGTAGTTTCTAAATATTACTATTAGAAAAATAATTTTAGAAACTAAAAATAAAAATAGAAATATAACTTTATAAAATTTACGAAAAATATTGTAAAAAAAACTAAAAAAATTGTTACAGATATAACAAATTGGATGCATTACTTGGCAAACTAGCTTCAATACACAGTATCTGCATAAGCAAACCAATGACTCCATTTTAAATTAAACAGGCTATGTTATATAGGCTTGCTTATCCAACTGTTATTAAGGTTACTTTAACTAGGTAACACTGTACGTTTTAAAAATATATACATAAAAAAACTATAAATGTCTTAACATATTTATCCTGTCCAATCACCAGGAACCAGTCTTGCTTCACAGAGACAATCTTTTATTAGAGACTACACATCTGTAAAATTGGTTCTTTTATAGTAAAACTAGCAGACCCCGCCATGCATTGTTGTGGCTCAAAATGTATCTAATATAAATTTATAACACTTCCCTCGCGGGGGGATATAAAAAAATTTCTTTTTAGTGTACATTCATTTAGTGTACCCTATTAAAACGCAATCAAAAACGCAAAAACCCGCATCTAAAATAGTATAAATAGAAGCAGAGTTCTTTACCGTAAGCCTTAAACCCAACCATCTCCCTTCAGTGGGGTTGAATTTCGACATGTATATTATATAAAAGCACGTGCATATTCGAATGCAGTGTTGTGTCAAAATTTCAAAGGAATCAGTAGGAACAAATGAACATTACATTTTTATTTATATAGATAGATAGAAGATGATCTGCTTTAGTTCATTTTCACAGAAAATCATAATGCCTCACGGAAAAGCAAAGTTAGGGCATCATACTCGTAGCGCCATCTGTTGGACATAAAAGCCTTAAGCTAGATTATATCCTTTAATTTATATGAATATTTAATGGAATAATATACAGCCTTTGTCCACCCTAAAGTTCCATTCTAAATATAGGCAAAAGAATTTTTGAAATCGGATGAGTAGTTTCAGAGATTACCTGCTGCATACAAACTTACTTACATACTTACAAACATTACCTCTTTATAATATTAGTATAGATATACAGGGTCCATAGGAAAGTCTCTTTAACCAGAAAATTCTTGCAAACGGAGAGAGCTACAGCTATGCAAGTGAGGTAATGGTATAGCAAAGCGACTATGCCCGACCTAATGCAAACGACAGCAGCGCCCCTAGTGGAAAAATTCGGAAGATAGGCAGTGCAAATCAAAAATGAAAACTGGGCACTCTTATCATATGCCTTCTTCAGATCTACAAAGGCAAAATATACTTCCTTATTTCCTTCTAGCCATTTCTCCTGAATTCGCCTTGTCATGAAAAGTACATCAATTGTTCCTCTCAAAACCAAACTGTTGTTCATCAATTTCTATTATCTTCCTTAATCTATCTTCTACAATCTTTTCAGAACTCTTGAATGAATGTTCCAGCAATTTTATACCTCTATAGTTATCACACATTGGTCTCCTTTCTGTTTAAAGATTGGTACTATATCACTTCTTTTCCATTCATCTGGAATTTTTTCATCTGTCCATGATCTTTTCATATGTCAAAAATCCACTTCCTCCCATCTGGACCTATGGCTTTAAACATCTCTATCACAGCTTCTGAAGGGTCCCCAACCTTTCCACTTTTCATAGCCATAACTGCATTTTCTACTTCCTCTCTTGTTAGATCCTCTTCTTGCTTTAGATTTTTATCTGTCTTTTTTAATGTTCCATGCTCATTTTCTTAATTTAGAAGTTTATTGAAATCTCCAAATTATTATCTGTTCTCTTTGTGTCAACTCAATCCTTTCTTCATTCATCACTGCATTGATTTTCAGAATATAAACAAACAACAACATTACAACCTGATACATTATTAACTACAAGCCAACCAATGCGGTATGTTATTGGGCTAGATATCGGCTATAATACTAATAAATTATGAATCTCCATCTAGTACCCAAATTCAGTTTCTCTTCTGAAATTGGAGGTGCAGGCCAGTGTTTCAGGTCATTAATGGCCATTCTGAAGTCTAATGTTGTTCTGAAGATGATGTCAAAAGGTAGGATTCAGCATGTCTTTCAGGACTGGAGACATGTTAGGCCAAGTGCATACAACTCAATTAGGGACTACTTCAAAAAAAGTTATATCAATGTGGACTCTATCTAATGTATTTCATAAGTAATAAATTTGCTCACTTTTTTGACTTTCTTTGTATTTGATGTCATTCTAGTTTTTATCAAAAATTTAGATTTATGTTATTTTTCAGAGTTTGATGTTATATTATGCAATGAACAAGGATATTATGTATACTTATTCAGTACTCAATATTACATCAAACTCTGAAAAACAACATAAACAGTCTATACATTTTTATAATATTTTATAATAATTCTTAATTAAATAAAAGTCCTAATATGAATAGCTATCAGCAGGGTCATCCAGTGAGAAACAGGGTCTGGGAAAAAATACATATTGGGAACCCTACAGCAAGAAGGAATTAAATGAAAAAAACAATGTATATGGATAGAGCAGTTTGTTGCTTCTGTCCCTCTTGGCAACTCTGACTCTCAGTAGTGTAAATAAGACCCCCTTGGATCTTATTACAAAGGATTCACAGATACAGAAATTTAAAATTAGAATTTATTGTGTGTTCTTTGGTGGATTACATTATTTTGATAAAAAGCAGTATTCTGTTTTGACATGATTTTTATTTCTGTATCAAGAAATAAAGTTTTTGGATGAAAAAACTGAAAACAAACTGCAAAAAATAAAATGATATAATGATTTATCACCCAAATTTGATAGAAATTATAGAATTAAATAAAATCAAATGGAGAGAGAGAAGAAAACTGATCAATTTTACTATATTTCTAATCAAATGAGCAAGATAATATCTTATTCAGCAATTGATGGAAATAAAAAACTCAAAAAACTATATTTACAACAAAGAATTAACTATTAGAGTCAAGAATGAACCAATTAGTTTATTTATATCTGTATATAATTATATAAGCCAGTCAACTGAATTTTTGATTCCTTGAACACTTTTGTGAAATTAAAAGAATTTTTCATATAACATGCTGTTATATTAACATGTAAAAATATATTTTATAAATAAAAGATGTTTGTACTAAGTTAATAAATATTTTTTATTCTCAGTGTTTGCTATTATTTCTAAACATGAATATAGTTTAATTTGTTTGAAATTAAACTATTTAAATAGTGTTTAATTATACAGTTTGTATAATTAACAATGAAATTGGATGTCAAGTCCATCTCAAGCACCAAAATTCTTTGGCTCTATCTATAACTTTAGCCAATGCCCTCATTGAAGAGTTAGATTTGGAATAAAGCTCACCAACATTCTCTGTTCTTCCTTAATCTTATTTTTTATTCTCATTTCCCTTTTACTTTATACATTTGTTTTTTATTTGAACTTTCCATCTTCATCAAAGTCTTAATCCTGAAAGTTTCATTTCAAGAACCTGGACGAATATTCTTCCTTCTGTTGTCTTAGCATGGCCATCCAATTAGTTTATATTTTAGTTTTATTACCTGAAACTTTTACTTTTGAATCTTGATGTGAATGCAAAATAATATATATTTCAAGTCATAATTTATCTGAGAGTAATGAAATACATTTCTATTATTTAGTTTCGAGAAGGAAACAACTTTTCTCTTCCAATCAGCTTATTAGAACCAAGATCTTCTCTTGATAAATTTGCTGATAGTTTCCTTCATATTGATATTCTCAGCGAGTAAGCAATTTTTAACATTTTATTATTATTCTAATATAATTTTATTTATGGAACAATAATAATATGAAATATATATAATTACTGAATCACAATCATTGATATATACTAAATTATAAATAATGTTTAGAATTTTATCAGTCCCATAGCCAGGAATAATAATATATAACAATTTAATTTTAGAGCTGCTATAATAACAAGACAAACTTTTCTTTATTCCAGCAAAATATTAACAGATATACAAATGTTTTTGAGCACATTGCAATCAATGTGCTCAATGTCAATGTGCTCTGCTTCAAGTCAATTACAACTTACAAATGTGTTCTATTTTTGAATGTTCTATAACATTCTATAACATTTGAACCAAATTTCAAAATGTAAAATGTAATTCTAATTTACAAAATTTATTAAATTAAATTAACAAAATATATATTTTCTATAAAAATGTTGTAATCAATGTTAAATTGGATCACTATAATGACCTTTCTTCTTGGGGTTATCTGGGATAAAGAAAAGGTTGTCTTGTTTTTATCCAGTATTTCCAGTTTTAATTCTTAATTTATGTTTTAGAGCTGCTATAGAAAAAGACCCATTGACAAGAATGAAATTAGTTGTTAAATGGTATTTGTCAGGATTTTATCTCCAATCAAAAAGTCTTAAAAAGCCATATATTCCAAAAATGGGTGAAGCATTTCGATGCTTTTGGTACCATCCAAAAACAGATAGTAAGACATTTTTTTTAGCAGAACAGGTAAGCATATTTAATTTTAATTAAATTAATAAATATATATTTAAATTTAAACTCTGTCTTATTGAGCTCAATGGTTTATAAATGAGTGCAGTAAAATAGTTTTATTGGGGCTCATTTACATTAAATAACAGTTTATTGAGCACTTCTGGACAACCAACCAGTACCTAAGAGCTACAAGTTACATATGTTTGTTTATGTATTTCTTGTTTCTTTCTTTTCCTTCTTGTTTCTTCCAATATTCTTGCACCTTTCCAATCTATCATAACTAACAGTTTCTTGTCTCAGCATGGTAGTGAGTTTTTTGTTCTGATATTTCTTCTGTGCTCCTGTATCCAAGTTTATAGCCATCATTTTGTAGCTCTCACATAACTTTATTTATTTGTTTCCACAACAATAGCCGCTCTCATTTAGAGGTTTTTTCATGCTCATTTGGATTTAGACATGTATTTGACCAGATCTCTAATGAGTGAGTAACAGGGCTTGACATATCTGAGAATGATTATTCATGAAAAATACATGAATTTGCTCATCTAGTCTTGATCCTGGGTCCTCAGAATAGTAGGTTGATGCCTTGTCCACCTCAGCCACCTGGCTGTTTGTGATTGCATGTTATCTCCAATGTTTGAAATTCTTTACCTAGTGCTATTGGATAACTCTTTCAATCAGTGATGTAAATGCTGCATATTTATCAAAATTAATAGAGTCCTCTGATGCATATGATACATAAATTTATGTAAATGTATTCTTCCTATAAACCAAAGGTTAAGCATATCATCCTTCTCTAGCCATAAATCCAAGAAATGCATTTTAGTATTCAATTCTTATTGAAGTTTAAGACCCAAGTTTTCATCAGAAAACATATTGACAACCTCTTCAATCTCATTTATATCATTCTAAATTTAGTAAAGTATTTTTATAATTTTTTAACTTAACATATCTTTTTAATGAATTTAATTATTTTTAGTTTTTTATTTATCGTTTTTATTCAATTTGAGATTATAAAAATATGTCACTGACAGTTACAGTATTTTAGTGAAAGTTTTAATTATTTCCAACAATAACAATAAGTGGATACAAACATTCAACAATCGCCTAAATGATCAGGTTAAAATTTGGCTATTTTAAATAATTAATACAAATTAATTTGCTACTAGAGGTAGACGTTTGGCACCATTCTGTTAACTAAATTAATAATTATAATTTAAATTTATTAAATAATTTAGAACCTTCTGGAAGAAAAGAACTGACCCGAGACAGGGCTTGAACCCACAGCATCTGCTTGCTGTGGTATATATACCTCACTGGGTAAATCATTCGCTGGCTGAGTGCCATAGTGAAGTTGTTCTTAGGCCATGGGCATAGGAGTCATCCCCAGCCAGTGCAGCCATTAACCTCGTAAGGTTATATCCAAATTTAAATACCTCTGGAAGCAAAGGCTTGCTTGGGGTCTGGGTGGCACAATTGGCAACCACACTGCATAGCAAGTGGAAGCTGTGGGTTCAAGCCCTGTCCCAGGTCAATTCTTTTCTTCCAGAAGGTTCTAAATTATTTAAAAAATTATTTATTAAATAATTTAGAACCTTATGTAATAATTTAAAATTGTATAATGTTTATATTCATAATTACATATTTCATAAATTCTAATTATTAATTTAGTTAAGAGATGGCACCTAACTCCAACCCTAGTAGCAAATTAATTTGTATTAATTATTTAAAATAGTCAAATTGTAGCTCTATCATTTAGGTGATCGTTGGATGTTTATATATACTCAACAGACTTTATAATGTTTGTTATATCAATAAGTGGATTCCATATATCAGTATGATGCTTACCATCTAAAAGAAAAACTGAATGAATAAAACTGATTTTATATCATGGATTATAAATTCGTGTGTCAAACTAAAAAAATAAATTGTTTTTCCTGTTTAATAAATTTATTATCTTCTTTATTTTATGCTGTTTATCATAAGAATAATTCTACAACAGAATTTATAAATAGAGTATTTTAAATAAAGAAAGCAAATTAAGTGGCCAGATGGCTAAGCTGTTAAGGTGGCAGCCCACTGCTCTGAGATCAAATCTGAACATGTTGAAAAACCTCAGGAATTTTTGGAGGGTGATCTATCTAGATATGTCAGGTCCCATTTCTCAGTGACCCCATCCAGCTGCCAGCTGTAGGCCTGGCCAAGCCCATTAATGGGCTTGCTAAAAAAAACAGACTCTCTTAGTGCTCATTAGGCAAAAAGAATTAAAAAAAAGCAAATTAAGTTATTTCTAATTATATATTATGTTGGTACTCAAATACATTACGATTTTCGATCCAATACACTATCTCTATAGATAGAGACCATTTTTTTGGTCCCTATCTATTGGGTGTAAAATTGCGAAACTTGCTGAGGTCATAAACAACATCCAATAGAATGTAAATAAGCATTGTTTGAATTATTTTGAGCAACAAAATGCTATGTATGATTATTTAAATTAGCCTGAGTTATCTTGGGTTTGGTTATTTCAGTTTAAATTCTTTTATTGTTTTTATTTGTACGCAATATTGTTAATTTGTGTTTGTTTTTTTTACTTATTTTTTTTAATACCATATTTGGTGTTAATTAATGTTTATGTTTTTGATTTTCAAAAATAAATTGAAAAAGTACTGTATATATAAGCATTAAATTGCCTTTAAAAATTAATGAACTCATCCTTTTTATTCCTTTAATCATTATCTCATTTTATGTTGTTATAAAGAACATATCCTCAACTTTTCCTTGCCTTCTTTAGATCGATTTACATGATTTACAGTTTAATTGAACATATCCTTCTATTTTGTATGAATTCGTTATCTCATTTTACATGGTTTCAGTTTGCACAATTTTTCTAGGAACTTATCTACGAGGGATGAGTGTCTATACTCTCATGTCATGATTTTTGCCATGCCTAAGACTGGAGAAATACATTAAGCTTATATTTTCTTTTGATTAAAATAGAAGATTACAAAATGGATGTTGAAATTACTAATAAATTTAGTTCAAGAAACATCTACTTTGAGGAATAAAGGTTTAGAAGAATACAAGTCTCAAGATTTAACAGTAAATCAGTGGAATTGAATTTTGCATTTTAGAATTTTGATGAAGTAATGCAATGATGAGCAACCTTTTCTGGATGTGGGCTGCAACTGAATTTTGTAGACTGCTGACAGACCTCATGCATTTTTTCTTGTAGAGTTGCAGGCTTTAAGTCTTCCATGTACAAACATACTTCCTAGTCCCAATACACTAGGTACTAAAATAATATATGCTAACAATGCTAGTAATACATAGTTTCTTCTTATCTTTTGATTGGTCAAGTTTAGTTTGAATGTTCTTTGTCATGAATATTGACTTAATTAGAATTACACAAGATAGTAAACAGAAAAATAATAAAATTATGTTGCCAAAGCCTCAGAGATTACTCTTATCTCAAGCTTCAGGTTACTCTTGACTGAAGTAAAGTATTCTAAAAATAATCAATAATTCATTGAACACAGACAAACAAAGATAATAAAAAATTTTGAATTGTCCTGCCTTATCTTATTAAACAAAGTAGAAAATACTCCCATCAAACTTTTTTCTATATTTACTGGATATACTGAGTGAACGATTTGACTATTTTTCATTTATGTAATAAATATAGATGGGTGGTACTGTACATTTTCTCTGGTTCATCACAAACCACTGCTCCCAAATAAGTGTAAAAAACAAACTAATTGAAAATATAGAAAATATCATATGCACAGTTGCTGTGAGTATATACAGTTGGCTAATGTGCTTAGATGTGGCATCCTGACTATTCATAGTCATGGTTTCAAATTGGATTCTGTGAAAAGGTGCCTAAGGAATTGCCTGATTTTTATTTAAAATATGGAATTTGTCATTAATATTTTATTATATAGTTTCTAAACATATTTATTCTGAAATATATTTTAGATATCTGATAAACCTCAAGAAGTTGCCATTCATATTATCAATCAAAAAGATGGATTTAGACTTAATGGAAGCTTCATTGTTAACTTATCATTTAGTGGTAAATATAATACTATATATTAGATAATTTTTATATTGAAGAATACAAAATTTCAGGGTTACATTTTTCATATTCACATACCTTAAATTTAGTCAAAATTGCTATTTATTATTTACAGGAAATACTGTGACTCTGAAAGTAGAGGATAAGAATTATCATGTAACTCTCTTACCATTTAAAGAAAAATATACTTTGGCTATGATAACTAAGTTAGAATAAATTTATTAAGCAACGAGTCACTCT